GTGAGTGGAGTTTGTGTGATCTCCCCCTGTTCTACAGTGTGAGTGTGGGTTTGTGTGATCTCCCCCTGTTCTACAGAGTGAGTGGAGTTTGTGTGATCTCCCCCTGTTCTACAGAGTGAGTGAAGTTTGTGTGATCTCCCCCTGTTCTACAGTGTGAGTGGAGTTTGTGTGATCTCCCCCTGTTCTACAGTGTGAGTGGAGTTTGTGTGATCTCCCACTGTACTACAGAGTGAGTGGAGTTTGTATGCTCTCCCCCTGTTCTACAGTGTGAGTGGAGTTTGTGTGATCTCCCCCTGTTCTACAGAGTGAGTGGAGTTTTTGTGATCTCCCCTTGTTCTACAGAGTGAGTGAGTGGAGTTTGTGTGATCTCCCCCTGTTCTACAGAGTGAGAGTGAGTGGAGTTTGTGTGATCTCACCCTGTTCTACAGTGTGAGTGGAGTTTGTGTGATCTCCCCCTGTTCTACAGTGTGAGTGGAGTTTGTGTGATCTCCCCCTGTTCTACAGAGTGAGTGAGTGGAGTTTGTGTGATCTCCCCTTGTTCTACAGAGTGAGTGAGTGGAGTTTGTGTGATCTCCCCCTGTTCTACAGAGTGAGAGTGAGTGGAGTTTGTGTGATCTCCCCCTGTTCTACAGCATGAGTGGAGTTTGTGTGATCTCCCCCTGTTCTACAGTGTGAGTGGAGTTTGTGTGATCTCCCCCTGTTCTACAGAGTGAGTGAGTGGAGTTTGTGTGATCTCCCCTTGTTCTACAGAGTGAGTGAGTGGAGTTTGTGTGATCTCCCCCTGTTCTACAGAGTGAGTGGAGTTTGTATGCTCTCCCCCTGTTCTACAGTGTGAGTGGAGTTTGTATGATCCCCCCCTGTTCTACAGTGTGAGTGGAGTTTGTGTGATCTCCCCCTGTTCTACAGAGTGAGTGAGTGGAGTTTGTATGATCTCCCCCTGTTCTACAGAGTGAGTGGAGTTTGTATGATCTCACCTTGTTCTACAGCGTGAGTGGAGTTTGTGTGATCTCCCCCTGTTCTACAGTGTGAGTGGAGTTTGTGTGATCTCCCCCTGTTCTACAGAGTGAGTGAGTGGAGTTTGTGTGATCTCCCCTTGTTCTACAGAGTGAGTGAGTGGAGTTTGTGTGATCTCCCCCTGTTCTACAGAGTGAGTGGAGTTTGTATGCTCTCCCCCTGTTCTACAGTGTGAGTGGAGTTTGTATGATCTCCCCCTGTTCTACAGTGTGAGTGGAGTTTTTGTGATCTCCCCCTGTTCTACAGAGTGAGTGAGTGGAGTTTTGTATGATCTCCCCCTGTTCTACAGAGTGAGTGGAGTTTGTATGATCTCACCTTGTTCTACAGAGTGAGTGGAGTTTGTGTGATCTCCCCCTGTTCTGCAGAGTGAGTGGAGTTTGTGTGTTCTCTCTCTCACCCTGTTCTACAGAGTGAGTGGAGTTTGTGTGTTCTCTCTCTCACCTTGTTCTACAGAGTGATTGGAGTTTGTGTGATCTCCCCCTGTTCTACAGTGTGAGTGGAGTTTGTGTGATCTCCCCCTGTTCTACAGAGTGAGTGGAGTTTGTGTGATCTCCCCCTGTTTTACAGAGTGAGTGGAGTTTGTATGCTCTCCCCCTGTTCTACAGTGTGAGTGGAGTTTGTATGATCTCCCCCTGTTCTACAGTGTAAGTGGAGTTTGTGTGATCTCCCCCTGTTCTACAGAGTGAGTGAGTGGAGTTTGTATGATCTCCCCCTGTTCTACAGAGTTAGTGGAGTTTGTGTGATCTCCCCCTGTTCTACAGTGTGAGTGGAGTTTGTGTGATTTCCTCCTGTTCTACAGAGTGAGAGTGAGTGGAGTTTGTGTGATCTCCCCATGTTCTACAGAGTGAGTGGAGTTTGTGTGATCTCCCCCTGTTCTACAGAGTGAGTGGAGTTTGTGATCTCCCCCTGTTCTACAGAGTGAGTGGAGTTTGTATGATCTCCCCCTGTTCACAGAGTGAGTGGAGTTTGTGTGATCTCCCCCTGTTCTACAGAGTGAGTGGAGTTTGTGTGATCTCCCCCTGTTCTACAGTGTGAGTGGAGTTTGTGTGATCTCCCCCTGTTCTACAGAGTGAGTGGAGTTTGTGTGATCTCCCCCTGTTCTACAGAGTGAGTGAGTGGAGTTTGTGTGATCTCCCCCTGTTCTACAGAGTGAGTGGAGTTTGTGTGATCTCCCCCTGTTCTACAGTGTGAGTGGGGTTTGTGTGATCTCCCCCTGTTCTACAGAGTGAGTGGAGTTTGTGTGATCTCCCCCTGTTCTACAGAGTGAGTGAAGTTTGTGTGATCTCCCCCTGTTCTACAGTGTGAGTGGAGTTTGTGTGATCTCCCCCTGTTCTACAGTGTGAGTGGAGTTTGTGTGATCTCCCACTGTACTACAGAGTGAGTGGAGTTTGTATGCTCTCCCCCTGTTCTACAGTGTGAGTGGAGTTTGTGTGATCTCCCCCTGTTCTACAGAGTGAGTGGAGTTTGTGTGATCTCCCCTTGTTCTACAGAGTGAGTGAGTGGAGTTTGTGTGATCTCCCCCTGTTCTACAGAGTGAGAGTGAGTGGAGTTTGTGTGATCTCACCCTGTTCTACAGTGTGAGTGGAGTTTGTGTGATCTCCCCCTGTTCTACAGTGTGAGTGGAGTTTGTGTGATCTCCCCCTGTTCTACAGAGTGAGTGAGTGGAGTTTGTGTGATCTCCCCTTGTTCTACAGAGTGAGTGAGTGGAGTTTGTGTGATCTCCCCCTGTTCTACAGAGTGAGAGTGAGTGGAGTTTGTGTGATCTCCCCCTGTTCTACAGCATGAGTGGAGTTTGTGTGATCTCCCCCTGTTCTACAGTGTGAGTGGAGTTTGTGTGATCTCCCCCTGTTCTACAGAGTGAGTGAGTGGAGTTTGTGTGATCTCCCCTTGTTCTACAGAGTGAGTGAGTGGAGTTTGTGTGATCTCCCCCTGTTCTACAGAGTGAGTGGAGTTTGTATGCTCTCCCCCTGTTCTACAGTGTGAGTGGAGTTTGTATGATCCCCCCCTGTTCTACAGTGTGAGTGGAGTTTGTGTGATCTCCCCCTGTTCTACAGAGTGAGTGAGTGGAGTTTGTATGATCTCCCCCTGTTCTACAGAGTGAGTGGAGTTTGTATGATCTCACCTTGTTCTACAGCGTGAGTGGAGTTTGTGTGATCTCCCCCTGTTCTACAGTGTGAGTGGAGTTTGTGTGATCTCCCCCTGTTCTACAGAGTGAGTGAGTGGAGTTTGTGTGATCTCCCCTTGTTCTACAGAGTGAGTGAGTGGAGTTTGTGTGATCTCCCCCTGTTCTACAGAGTGAGTGGAGTTTGTGTGATCTCCCCCTGTTCTACAGTGTGAGTGGAGTTTGTATGATCTCCCCCTGTTCTACAGTGTGAGTGGAGTTTTTGTGATCTCCCCCTGTTCTACAGAGTGAGTGAGTGGAGTTTTGTATGATCTCCCCCTGTTCTACAGAGTGAGTGGAGTTTGTATGATCTCACCTTGTTCTACAGAGTGAGTGGAGTTTGTGTGATCTCCCCCTGTTCTGCAGAGTGAGTGGAGTTTGTGTGTTCTCTCTCTCACCCTGTTCTACAGAGTGAGTGGAGTTTGTGTGTTCTCTCTCTCACCTTGTTCTACAGAGTGATTGGAGTTTGTGTGATCTCCCCCTGTTCTACAGTGTGAGTGGAGTTTGTGTGATCTCCCCCTGTTCTACAGAGTGAGTGGAGTTTTGTGATCTCCCCCTGTTTTACAGAGTGAGTGGAGTTTGTATGCTCTCCCCCTGTTCTACAGTGTGAGTGGAGTTTGTATGATCTCCCCCTGTTCTACAGTGTAAGTGGAGTTTGTGTGATCTCCCCCTGTTCTACAGAGTGAGTGAGTGGAGTTTGTATGATCTCCCCCTGTTCTACAGAGTGAGTGGAGTTTGTATGATCTCACCTTGTTCTAGAGCGAGTGGAGTTTGTGTGATCTCCCCCTGTTCACAGAGTGAGTGGAGTTTGTGTGTTCTCTCTCTCACCCTGTTCTACAGAGTGAGTGGAGTTTGTGTGTCTCTCTCTCACCTTGTTCTACAGAGTGAGTGGAGTTTGTGTGATCTCCCCCTGTTCTACAGAGTGAGTGGAGTTTGTGTGATCTCCCCCTGTTCTACAGAGTGAGTGGAGTTTGTGTTCTCTCTCACCCTGTTCTACAGAGTGAGTGGAGTTTGTATGATCTCCCCCTGTTCTACAGAGTGAGTGAGTGGAGTTTGTGTGATCTCCCCCTGTTCTACAGAGTGAGTGAGTGGAGTTTGTGTGATCTCCCCCTGTTCACAGAGTGAGTGGAGTTTGTGTGTTCTCTCTCTGACCCTGTTCTACAGAGTGAGTGGAGTTTGTGTGATCTCCCCCTATTCTACAGAGTGAGTGGAGTTTGTGTGATCTCCCCCTGTTCTACAGAGTGAGTGAGTGGAGTTTGTGTGATCTCCCCCTGTTCTACAGAGTGAGTGGAGTTTGTATGCTCTCCCCCTGTTCTACAGAGTGAGTGGAGTTTGTGTGATCTCCCCCTTTTCTACAGAGTGAGTGGAGTTTGTGTGATCTCCCCCTGTTCTACAGAGTGAGTGGAGTTTGTGTGATCTCCCCCTGTTCTACAGTGTGAGTGAGTGAGTGCGGTTCGTATGATCTCTGCCTGTTCTGTAGAGAATGAGTGAGTGGAGGTTGTATGATCTCTGCCTGTTCTGTAGAGAATGAGTGAGTGGAGGTTGTATGATCTCTGCCTGTTCTGTAGAGAATGAGTGAGTGGAGGTTGTATGATCTCTGCCTGTTCTGTAGAGAATGAGTGGAGGTTGTATTTCCTCTCTCTTGCCCTGTTCAGCATGGGTTTCCCCGGGGCTCCCCGGGTTCCCCCCAACGCAGCCCCCCTGCTCCATACAGAGAGACCTCAGCGTGTGTGTGTGAGTCTCTCCTGCGTAAGCAACGTTCCGTTCCTCCACCGCGGCGCCCCCATTCCCCATCGAGTACCACCCCCACCCTCCTCTCTCGCAGGGAGCTATTTCGCACGCGACGCTTCCTACTCCCACACCTACTCCAAGGGCCGCAAGGGAACGGCCCCTGCCAGCGCGGCAATGTTCCTGGCCCGCGTGCTGGTGGGCCGCTACACTTGCGGCAAAGCCGGCTACGTGCGGCCCCCCGCCATCAAAGCTTCCCCTTCGACGTCGGCTGGGCAGCCGGCCCCGGAGGTTTTCTACGACAGCTGCGTGAACACCGAGATCGATCCCAGCATCTTCGTGGTGTTTGAAAGAGACCAGATCTATCCGGAGTACGTCATCGAGTACCAGTTTTAGGGTTAGAGGAGGAACCCAGCTGGATGCGTCACGTTGAGGGGCCAAACGTCGCCATGGAAGCGGATAACCACCTTTGAACCAACGTTGGTCCAACGTAGGGGTATAACTGGAAAACGTTGGGCCAACATTGGCCCAATGTAGGCGTATAACTGGAAACTGTTGGACCAACATTCCGTGTGTATTGGGGGAAGGCTGCATGTGCACCACGAGGCTGTGTTGACACGGGCCTGAGGAAACTGCTTTAAGGTCGTGATCCACTTGGGCAATTTCAGGCCAATTATTGGCGGCAATAGTCACCGGCAGTGGTTGTCGCATCAGCGTTTCCCACTGTAAAAGTTTAATTTCCCCCCCCGCTCCCTCAAAATGTGAATAACTCCGATTCAAGCTGCTCTCTAGTCAGCAACCGGAGCGGCATCTCCCAATCAGATTGCAGACAGAGGTCACATGACTGCCTGATGAGTCACGCTGAAAAAAATGGTGGCTTCCATATCCCGCATGGGTGGGATCGAGATGGATGGATAAGAACTAGGACTAGACTTACCCCATCTCTACCAACTAGTGACTAATACTGGGCCTTGCCCCATCTCTACCAACTAGTGACTAATACTAGGCCTTACACCATCTCTACCAACTAGTGACTAGTACTAGGCCTTACCTCATCTCTACCAACTAGTGACTAGTACTAGGCCTTACCCCATCTCTACCAACTAGTGACTAATACTAGGCCTTACCCCATCTCTACCAACTAGTGACTAATACTAGGCCTTACCCCATCTCTACCAACTAGTGACTAGTTCTAGGCCTTGCCCCATCTCTACCAACTAGTGACTAAAACTAGGCCTTACCCCATCTCTACCAACTAGTGACTAGTACTAGGGCTTACCCCATCTATATCAACTAGTGACTAATACTAGGCCTTACCCCATCTCTACCAACTAGTGACTAATACTAGGCCTTACCCCATCTCTACCAACTAGTGACTAGTACTAGGCCTTACCCCATCTCTATCAACTAGTGACTAGTACTAGGCCTTACCCCATCTCTATCAACTATTGACTAGTACTGGGCCTTACCCCATCTCTATCAACTAGTGACTAGTACTAGGCCTTACCCCATCTCTATCAACTAGTGACTAATACTAGGCCTTACCCCATCTCTTTCAACTAGTGACTAGTACTGGGCCTTACCCCATCTCTACCAACTAGTGACTAATACTAGGCCTTACCCCATCTCTATCAACTAGTGACTAATACTAGGCCTTACACCATCTCTATCAACTGGTGACTAGTACTAGGCCTTACACCATCTCTACCAACTAGTGACTAATACTAGGCCTTACCCCATCTCTATCAACTAGTGACTAATACTAGGCATTACCCCATCTTTACCAACTAGTGACTAATACTAGGCCTTACCCCATCTCTACCAACTAGTGACTAATACTAGGCCTTACCCCATCTTTACCAACTAGTGACTAGTACTAGGACTTACCCCATCTCAATCAACTAGTGACTAATACTAGGCCTTACCCCATCTCTACCAACTAGTGACTAGTACTAGGCCTTACCCCATCTCTATCACCTAGTGACTAGTGCTCGGCCTTACCCCATATCTATCAACTAGTGACTAGTACTAGGCCTTACCCCATCTATATCAACTAGTGACTAATACTAGGCCTTACCCCATCTCTATCAACTAGTGACTAATACTAGGCCTTACCCCATCTCTATCAACTAGTGACTAATACTAGGCCTTACCCCATCTCTATCAACTAGTGACTAATACTAGGCCTTACCCCATCTCTATCAACTAGTGACTAGGACTCGACTTACCCCATCTCTACCAACTAGTGACTAGTACTAAGACTTACCCCATCTCTAAGTAACTAGTGACTAATACTAGGCCTTACACCATCTCTACCAACTAGTGGCTAGTGCTAGGCCTTACCCCATCTCTACCAACTAGTGACTAATACTAGGCCTTACCCATCTCTACCAACTAGTGACTAGTACTAGGATTTACCCCATCTATATCAACTAGTGACTAATACTAGGCCTTACCCCATCTCTACCAACTAGTGACTAATACTAGGCCTTACCCCATCTCTACCAACTAGTGACTAGTACTAGGCCTTACCCCATCTCTATCAACTAGTGACTAGTACTAGGCCTTATCCCATCTCTATCAACTATTGACTAGTACTGGGCCTTACCCCATCTCTATCAACTAGTGACTAGTACTAGGACTTACCCCATCTCTAAGTAACTAGTGACTAGTACTAGGACTTACCCCATCTCCATCAACTAGTGACTAATACTATGCCTTACCCCATCTCTATCAAAAAGTGACTAATACTAGGCCTTACCCCATCTATATCAACTAGTGACTAATACTAGGCCTTACACCATCTCTATCAACTGGTGACTAGTACTAGGCCTTACACCATCTCTACCAACTAGTGACTAATACTAGGCCTTACCCCATCTCTATCAACTAGTGACTAGTACTAGGCCTTACCCCATCTCTACCAACTAGTGACTAGTACTAGGCCTTACCCCATCTCTACCAACTAGTGACTAATACTAGGCCTTACCCCATCTCTACCAACTAGTGACTAATACTAGGCCTTACCCCATCTCTATCAACTAGTGACTAGTACTAAGACTTACCCCATCTCTACCAACTAGTGACTAGTACTAGGCCTTACCCCAACTCTATCAACTAGTGACTAGTACTAGGCCTTACCCCATCTCTACCAACTAGTGACTAATACTAGGCCTTACCCCATCTCTACCAACTAGTGACTAATACTAGGCCTTATCCCATCTCTACTAACTAGTACTAGGCCTTACCCCATCTCTATCAACTAGTGACTAATACTAGGCCTTACCCCATCTCTACCAACTAGTGACTAGTACTAGGCCTTACCCCATCTCTACCAACTATTGACTAGTACTAGGCCTTACCCCATCTCTACCAACTAGTGACTAATACTATGCCTTACCCCATCTCTATCAAAAAGTGACTAATACTAAGACTTACCCCATCTCTATCAACTGGTGACTAATACTAGGCCTTACCCCATCTCTATCAACTAGTGACTAGTACGAGGCCTTGCCCCATCTCTATCAACTAGTGACTAGTACTAGGCCTTACCCCATCTCTTTCAACTAGTGACTAGTACTAGGCCTTACCCCATCTCTACCAACTAGTGACTAATACTAGGCCTTACCCCATCTCTATCAACTAGTGACTAATACTAGGCCTTACCCCATCTCTACCAACTAGTGACTAGTACTAGGCCTTACCCCATCTCTACCAACTAGTGACTAGTACTAGGCCTTACCCCATCTCTACCAACTAGTGACTAATACTAGGCCTTACCCCATCTCTACCAACTAGTGTCTAATACTAGGCCTTACCCCATCTCTATCAACTAGTGACTCGTACTAAGACTTACCCCATCTCTACCAACTAGTGACTAGTACTAGGCCTACCCCATCTCTATCAACTAGTGACTAATACTAGGCCTTACCCCATCTCTACCAACTAGTGACTAGTACTAGGCCTTACCCCATCTCTACCAACTAGTGACTAATACTAGGCCTTACCCTATCTCTACCAACTAGTGACTAGTACTAGGCCTTACCCCATCTCTAAGTAACTAGTGACTAATACTAGTACTTACCCCATCTCTATCAATTAGTGACTAGTACTAGGCCTTACACCATCTCTACCAACTAGTGACTAGTACTAGGCCTTACACCATCTCTACCAACTAGTGACTAATACTAGACTTACACCATCTCTACTAACTAGTGACTAATACTAGACTTACCCCATCTCTATCAACTAGTGACTAGTACTAGGCCTTACCCCATCTCTACCAACTAGTGACTAATACTGGGCCTTACCCCATCTCAACCAACTAGTGACTAGTACTAGGCCTTACCCCATCTCTATCAACTAGTGACTAATACTAGGCCTTACCCCATCTCTACCAACTAGTGACTAATACTGGGCCTTACCCCATCTCTACCAACTAGTGACTAGTACTAAGACTTACCCCATCTCTACCAACTAGTGACTAATACTAGGCCTTACCCCATCTCTACCAACTAGTTACTAGTACTAAGACTTACCCCATCTCTACCAACTAGTGACTAGTACTAGGCCTTACCCCATCTCTAAGTAACTAGTGACTAGTACTAGGCCTTACCCCATCTCTAAGTAACTAGTGACTAATGATTGGTTTACAATTCTGTACAGCCACTTCTCTGACCGCCCAGAACCCTTGTCAAAACATCACAATGGGCGGGAGGGGGGGGGTTTGAGCCGATTACATTTTTTTATTGATTTATGTCAGACACTGCACATTAACACAGTACGTTTAAGGTGACGTACGTGCTTTTAAAGGCATAGCACAGGAAACCTTGTGTTTTGTTGAATACTCTTTGGTTCTATTCGGTAAAGTCACATAGGTAAAAAATAAAACAACAAAAATCACGACGTTTTGGCCACAATACAAGTGGCCTTCATCAGGTGAAGGGACCGTACTGTCACGAGGACAGCGTTGGAATGAAGAAAGTAAAGCCAGGTCGCGTCCTTTAAGCTGTGTGGGAGGAAACAAAACGCTTTGACAAAGGAATTATCATTAAATGCTCATAGAGTAACAACACGGGGGAGGGGAGTTTACAAATGTACAAATGGTGTGAGAGGAAATGACCGTACAGCAACGTAACGGACCGGCACGGGGGGGAGGGGGGAGTTTACAAACGTTGTTTTGAAGGGAAATAAGCTGCTGTGAAAGTTTGGTATATCACTACTTGGATAAATATACTGTATCATTGAAAATTAGTTTAATGTTTGGTATGATTTAGAACATATTTCCAATGATTGCTTCATTTGAAACCATCTTCTCGGCTGAAATTGTGTCTGTGTCCTCGTGACAGTACGGTCCCTTCACCTGATGAAGGCCACTTGTGTTGTGGCCGAAACGTCGTGATTTTTGTTGTTTTATTTTTTACCTATGTGACTTTACCGAATAGAACCAAAGAGTATGGATCCTTGCAGTCACGAAAGCTTCAAATCTAGTTTTCTTGAACATTTAGCAGTTAAGCTTGATTCATGCACTCTGAAGGCTTGAAAGGCTTTCATATGGAACACAGCTCGGCTCTGCTTTGTGCAAGGCTCCGAGTATCATAGATTAACACTGTTACATCATTGCTTGACACGTGGTGTTCACACAATCTGTTTTCGAAAGAACGCGATTCTCCCATTAGAGAACGCAACGCAGTGCAGGCTGTACATTACATATAGGTGCAGTAGGCGCCCATTATAGCATGGAACGTGCCCATGATAACACGATAGGCACCGGTTATAACACGGTAGCCGCCCGTTACAACACGGGACTGCTCACAGACGTACTTCGCTCGTAACAGACTACGAGTCAGCACGTGATCTCGACCACGCTTCGGCGCGGGCATTGAGCCATGTGCGGCCCACGTGAACGCGAGGTGAATGGGGCGCCTCCTGATCCCCTCCGTGTCACTATCGGCGTGCCTTGCGGGATGATGGGCCCGGGTTTTGCCGGTCACCGACTCGCGAACTGCGCGCTTCGTTCCCACCCACCGTGGAGCCCGTGAACCGTGAACCGTGAAGCTCGTTAACCGTGAAGCTCGTGAACCGTTCATAGAACGCTGCCGAAGGTCGCTAAAGTGCGTCGAACCGAATATGGCTCGCGTGCGATGCGTCTATTGGGAGAGTGCATATTGTGAAATAATAAACATTCATTAATACCCCCTCTGTGGTCTCGCCTCCAATACTCCGAGGCCCATCCCCGGACTCCCTCGATGACTGTCCCAGAGGGCACAGCAATCCCACCCGTGAGGCTCGCACGGAGCCACCGTGGAGGTGGCCTCACCCGTTGACCAAATGACCCTGCGCGGTCCCCCTCCTCCTGGTGGCCCCGCTCCACAGCCCGCCCGCCCGCCCGCCCGCCCCAACCACCAACCCAGGGCCCCCTTAAGGGCCCATCCACGGACTCACCCGATCCCGGGGTGTTCCACCCACCCCTCTAACACCTGTTTTGGAATCCCCTGTCCGCTCATCTGCCGCTTGGTTCCCCTCCCTTCACTCCCCCCCCCCCTTGGCATTTGCATTTTCCTGATAGACCAAAACACGCAGACAGCGGCGCTTACTCTCTTTGTCAAGCAACATGAACCATCACGCTACTCTCTTTGTCTAGGGACATGAACCATGACGCTACTCTCTTTGTCTAGGGACCTGAACCATCACGCTACTCTCTTTGTCTAGGGACATGAACCATGACGCTACTCTCTTTGTCTAGGGACATGAACCATCACGCTACTCTCTTTGTCAAGGAATATGAACCATCAAGCTACTCTCTTTGTCTAGGGACATGAACCATGACGCTACTCTCTTTGTCAAGCAACATGAACCATGACGCTACTCTCTTTGTCTAGGGACATGAACCATCACGCTACTCTCTTTGTCAAGGGACATGAACCATGACGCTACTCTCTTTGTCTAGGGACATGAACCATCACGCTACTCTCTTTGTCAAGGGACATGAACCATGACGCTACTCTCTTTGTCTAGGGACATGAACCATGACGCTACTCTCTTTGTCTAGGGACATGAACCATCACGCTACTCTCTTTGTCAAGGGACATGAACCATGACGCTACTCTCTTTGTCTAGGGACATGAACCATGACGCTACTCTCTTTGTCTATGGACATGAACCATGACGCTACTCTCTTTGCCTAGGGACCTGAACCATCAAGCTACTCTCTTTGTCAAGGGACTTGAACCATGACGCTACTCTCTTTGTCTAGGGACATGAACCATGACGCTACTCTCTTTGTCTAGGGACATGAACCATCACGCTACTCTCTTTGTCTAGGAACATGAACCATGACGCTACTCTCTTTGTCAAGGGACATGAACCATCTCTTTGTCTAGGGACATGAACCATGACGCTACTCTCTTTGTCTAGGGACATGAACCATGACGTTACTCTCTTTGTCTAGGGACTTGAACCATGACGCTACTCTCTTTGTCAAGGGACTTGAACCATGACGCTACTCTCTTTGTCAAGGGACATGAACCATCACGCTACTCTCTTTGTCTAGGGACATGAACCATGACGCTACTCTCTTTGTCTAGGGACCTGAACCATCACGCTACTCTCTTTGTCTAGTGACATGAACCATCACGCTACTCTCTTTGTCAAGGGACATGAACCATGACGCTACTCTCTTTGTCAAGGGACATGAACCAACACGCTACTCTCTTTGTCTAGGAACATGAACTATGACGCTATTCTCTTTGTCAAGCAACATGAGCCATCACGCTACTCTCTTTGTCAAGCAACATGAACCATCACGATACTCTCTTTGTCAAGAGACATGAACCATCACGCTACTCTCTTTGTCAAGCAACATGAACCATCACGATACTCTCTTTGTCAAGAGACATGAACCATCACGCTACTCTCTTTGTCTAGGGACATGAACCATCACGCTACTCTCTTTGTCAAGCAACATGAACCATCACGCTACTCTCTTTGTCTAGGAACATGAACCATGACGCTACTCTCTTTGTCAAGCAACATGAACCATCACGCTACTCTCTTTGTCTAGGAACATGAACCATCACGCTACTCTCTTTGTCTAGGGACATGAACCATGACGCTACTCTCTTTGTCTAGGGGCATGAACCATGACGCTACTCTCTTTGTCAAGAGACATGAACCATGACGCTACTCTCTTTGTCAAGGGACATGAACCATGACGCTACTCTCTTTGTCTAGGAACATGAACCATGACGCTACTCTCTTTGTCAAGAGACATGAACCATGACGCTACTCTCTTTGTCTAGGAACATGAACCATGACGCTACTCTCTTTGTCTAGGAACATGAACCATGACGCTACTCTCTTTGTCTAGGGACTTGAACCATCACGCTACTCTCTTTGTCTAGGGACATGAACCATGACGCTACTCTCTTTGTCTAGGGGCATGAACCATGACGCTACTCTCTTTGTCTAGGGACATGAACCATGACGCTACTTCTTTGGTTCTTTCGGTAAAGTCACGTAGAATGATAATAAAATAATAAATTGATAAAATAAAATAACACAATAATATTCTCACGACGTTTCGGCCACAACACAAGCGGCCTTCATCAGGTGAAGGGGGCGAGACTGTCTGGTAGGACAGTGAAGGGGGCGAGACTGTCTGGTAGGACAGTGAAGGGGGCGAGACTGTCTGGTAGGACAGCGCTGTCCTACCAGACAGTCCCGCCCCCTTCACCTGATGAAGGCCGCTTGTGTTGTGGCCGAAACGTCGTGAGAATATTATTGTGTTATTTTATTTTATCAATTTATTATTTTATTATCATTCTACGTGACTTTACCGAAAGAACCAAAGAAGATGAATGATTGCAGTCACGAAAGCTTTAAATCGAAACATGACGCTACTCTCTTTGTCTAGGGACTTGAACCATCACGCTACTCTCTTTGTCTAGGGACTTGAACCATCACGCTTTCAGATGCGCTTCTGCAGACGTCTGGAGCGCTCTTCCTTCCGATATAAAACTATTTAAACAATTATTTTTATTTTACCAGGTAGGGTCCACTGAGATTTACAGCTCTGTTCTAGGAATCACCCAGGCCACAAATGGTAGCTCAACGGAGTCATCACTTATCGTCGTGTGGGAATTTATAGTAGCAGCCAAATTCTCTAATCGCTTGTTGTTTATTTTAAATGTGGAAGGAAAACCCTGAGTACCCAGAGAAAAATGCACGCGACCATGGGGAGAGAGAGAGACACGCAAACTCCAAATATACAGCAGCAGCAGCAGGCACCGTCAGGGTCGGGATGGAAACCACGACCTCCTGTACACCAGGCGATGGAGTTAACATCTCTCCACCGCAGCGATTCACATTTGGAAGCCACTGGGAGCCTTGCACTTTTACATCGAGATTGACAACTCATTTCTTTAAAGCTGCTGTTTGTGTTTTAGTGTATTGTCCTTTCCTCGCACATCTGGCTACGTACGGTGCAATAGAACTTCAACATTGCATTCAACGACTGCCACTTGAACCTCGTGGCCCCCTTGCCAACGACGTCACCCCATGACGTCACGCCCTCCCACTCGCCGGCTATGACGTCACCGCCCCGCCCCTTATAAGAGGCGCGGGGAAGCGGGACTTGTCTCCCGGTTGCGCCCCGCGCCGCCACCGACGATTCGCGGCGCGCCCTCCATTCACTTTGCGCGGTGCACGCCACCCACGGGCCGCGTTCGCCTTGGTTTTGCCACCAAGCGTTCGCGTAAAATAATATAAAATAGATTTTAAATTCGACAGTCGCTGTGAAATGTCGTCGTCCAAGACGGGCGGGGTGACGCCGCCGCAGCTGAGGGCCCTGGTGGAGCTCGACCCGCTGCTGCAGCCCTACGAGGCCGACTTCAAGCGAAGGTGACCGGGGTGGGGTGGGGGGTTGAGGAGTGAATGCGGCGGCACGGGCAACGGGAGACAAGGCCCGGCTCGTGTGTGTACGTGTGTTTACGTGCGGGAGAGACAAAGGCGGCCGGGCGTGGTGGCGGCGCTGTCCATCCACCCCCTCGTGTGCCGCGGTGCCGCTAGCCTGCACAATAGGTGCTGACAGCACTTGCCCCAACAGTCTGTTACAGGCTGTACGGGGGATCTTCGTCTTATGTGTACGTGCACCTAGCCTGGCACAACACGGGATTGTGTGCTGACGTGACAGTCGCGCAGTAGCGAATGGCGGCCGCTGTGTTTTGTTTTGGGGAGACATCCAGCAGTGGATTGGCCAAGGGTATCGGTGCGCGTGTGAAGAGCGGTAGGTCGACTCGGCTGGTGCGGTGGTGCGTAGCGGGGAGACAAAGACGGCCGAGCGTGGCGCTGGCCACCCACCCCCTCGTGTGCCGCACCCGCCTTCATAGGTGCCTGCCAACAGCACTTGCCCCAACAGTTTGTCAAGGCTACACGGGGGACATTTGTCAACGGTGTGCGTACGCTCACACACGCACGCACGCACGCGTGAACCTAGCCTGGCACAACACGCTCCGTGTGTGCTGACGTGCCCGTCACACGGTGGCTAATGCCGGCTGGTGTGTAACGTTGGGAGGGCTTCATCCAGAGCTGCCAATGCGCGTGACGCGTGTGGCGTTCTGGGGAGCGGTGGCGCAGCGGTTAGCGCATAGCGCGATGAACCCGGCGACCCCGAGTTGGGATTCGCGCACACGGCCGATCACATTCGTGACGGCGAATATCTCAATGTGTTGCTGTGCCACCGCTAGATCCACTCGGCCCTAACAACGAGTGCCCGGTGTAGTGCGTGTAAAACATCGGTACCCGGGCGAGACAAAGGCGGCCGGGTGTGGGTGCTGGCCACCCACCCCCTCGCGTGTGCCGCGCGCTGCTCGCAAACAGCGCTTGCCCCCACAGCCTTACGAGGCTATACGGGGGACCTTGGTATGGGGGGAGGGGTCGCATTGTCGCAATCCAGCAGCCGTAAGGCTGCGCGCGCGTGTCACCGCTCACGGCCCCCACGGTGTCACATTTCGTGGACGCTGGCACCGTGGTGCAATTGTGGGGTCGCACCCTGCTCGGTGTTGCAATCCGCAGGGATCGCCGGCTAAGCTGCGAATCCATCGCCCGGCGCGGTGGAAGAGTAGGCCAAATGCCCTCGAGGGGAGCCCCCTCTTCTACAGAGCTCCCCTCGAGGTTGAGGCCTTATCTGCCAGCAGTGGCACGAGGAAGGAATTTAAAGGGCTGCCCCTGTAGCTTATTTGACATGTCACGTTCCCACGCCTCGTGGGTCTCGTCCCGAGCTCCCGCACGGCACTGCAGAAGAGCCTCCCGTGTGGGAGAGGCCCGCGGAAGTGGCCATCACAGAGCTAGCGTCGGTGTCCCTTTCAAGTCACCTCTGGACGCTGGCTAGGGTGGCGCTCGCTACCAAAGGGGTCTTTGGCCATGGATTGCAACGCTGAGAGTTTGGCTTCTTGTGGGAGGAACCCAGAGGTACTTAGCCTGGCACGACATGGAATTGTAAACAAAACATGCCAATTCGCCCCTAGTTCAGCACACCGGTGTGTTGGAGAGTAAACCCCACAACGTTTACAATGCGAGTACGACGTTTCGCCAGTAATTAAAACTAGCACCGGCAGGCGACGGCCAGATTTGACTGTGTCGAGTGGTTATGGTGAGAATTGCATTGTTAACTTGTTTCCTGTTGACACCAGTTTTTAAATAAGCGTATGCATAGTTAAACGATTAGTAGTGAATGAGTAACGGGCAAACCCTTCAATAGTAGCACAGTATTACTGATGCGTAAACTGATTTGTATTCAGAGTTAAGTTTATAAAACGTTGCTGGCACGGTGGACAGTGAGAATTTCTTCTCCCGGTGAGCCCAGGGCACGGGCCACGTGACCCCGGGCCCAGTCCCCACGTCGAACTTCACTGCCCTGCAAATCCCCATGCAGTCTGCCGCTCAAGGATGCGCCAGGCTCAGCCCTCGCCTTGGCATTCAACATTTTTTTTCTGGTCCACCAGGCAAGGCCCCACCGAGCTGTGCGGCTGCTTTTCAGAAGCGACCTGGCCACAAATGATAGCTCAAGGAAGCGGCTTATCACGCAAACTCCAAATATACAGCAGCAGCAGCAGCAGGCGTCCGGGTCGGGATAGAACCCACGACCTCCTGTATATCAGGCGAGGGAGACGACATCTATGCCACCCGGCACGCGGTTTGTAAACGTTAGCACCGGGTGGAGGCATCATCCGCCCGGCTTGCGGCAGGGCTGGGGGACACCGCACCACCGCCCGGGTTGGAGCCCGGGCGTTGGTGGTGGTGCGTTCGTGGCTCGCTCCCTGCGGACAGCGGCACAGACTTTGTGGATAAAGAGCAGGGGGAGCCCCCCCCCCACCGGTACCCCATCGGCTGGCACCCCTCCTCTCGACGTGTACCGGGCACGCGCCCGGCACCGGGGGCAACTCGGGGCAATAGCGGACCCGCGGGTGACATTTGGGAGATGTATTTCTGGGCTGTGACTGGCCCAGTTTAATTAGCGGAGTGTCGCAATGCCACTGCCATGGTATCGCGTGTCCCAGCAAGACGGCGTGTGGGCTCAAGGTCATTTGAATGAACGCGCCTGTGTGCCTGTGTGCGAGCACACGGGCACACGCAGCGGTCAGCGGGCCGCGCTACGAACCCGGCGACCCGAGTTCGATTCCCGCTCACGGCCAACGCCGGTGATAGCGATTATCTGAACCGGTGCTGGGCTTCCCCTAGGTGGACTCTGCCTTAAATGAGTATCTGGTGTGGCGTATAAACATTAGCACTCTGATATGGGACCTTTCTTGCCAGTATCAAAATATAACAATGAATCCTTATTCAAGGAATCCTGTCTGCATTCACCACACGTACTTGTGGTGGTGAACGTGCAAACAAAAAAACAACACGCTCTGACAACATACGGGCATTGTCTTTGAAACTGATTGGTCCACACCAGAGACGGCTTTCTGCTGAGCCTAGTCTCAAAGTGTTAGACCTGTTTGGTGTTTTAACATCTTGACACAACTGTTTCATTGGCAGAAAGGGTAAAACTCTTTGTTATATTTTAATACGGCAAGAAAGGTCCCATATTGTAGCTGCTCACTCCGAGCTATGAATGCCTTGAGAGTGCATTGCCTTTGTGCTGTTCGCCTTGTGGCGTCCTCTGGATGCAAAGGTGGTCGGGCGAAGTGTTGTCCATCCAACCCGCTCCGCCTCATGTACCATAGGTGCTCACTAACAGCACTTGCCCCAACAGTTTGTTAAGGCTATAATGGGAATTTGGGTGAGTGAGTGTGGAGTTTGTAAGTTCTCTCTCTCTCCCCCTGTTCTGCTTGGTTTTCCTCCCGCATCTCAAGTTTCCTCCCCCATGTAAACATTCATTACGTGAGCCAATAACACCTTAATATGAAGAGGACTGCAGAACTTGGTCAATTGTTGGTATTGTCGGCTCCTCTGCAGTTCCTCGGGGCTCCTCTGAGTGGGTACTCGCGATATTTCAGAAGCAACCTGGATATCACAAATGTCAGCTGAATGAAGTTGCTTATCACGTGGAAATAGAGAGAGCAGCAGCTGAATACTCTACACGTGCGATGCTGATTCTAAATGTGGATGGAAAATCCGGAGGACCCAGAGGAAAATCAACGCGACCACGGAGAGGGAGACACGCAGACTCCAAATATACAGCAGCAGGCGTCAGGGTTGGGATTGAACCCACGACCTCCTTTACACCAGTCGAGGTAGTTGAGTCATTGCCGGCATTGTTTTTGTGCGTGTTGGTGTGCGTGGGTGTGCGCGTACGAACGTGTGCGTGCCCGTGCGCGTTCGAGTGTGCGTGTGGGCGTGCGTGTGGGCGTGCGTGTGCGTGCGGGTGTGTGTGTGTGTGTGGGTGTGTGTGCGGGTGTGTGTGTGTGGGTGTGTGTGCGGGTGTGTGTGTGTGTGCGTGCCCGTGCGCGTACGAACGTGTGCGTGCCCGTGCGCGTTCGAGTGTGCCTGTGCGTGTGTGTGTGTGGGTGTGTGTGGGTGTGTGCGCGTGTGTGGGTGTGTGTGGGTGTGCGCGTGCGTGCGGGTGTGTGTGCGTGGGTGTGTGGGTGGGCCGTGCGTGTGGGTGTGTGCGTGCGTGTGGGTGTGCGCGTGCGTGTGGGTGTGCGCGTGCGTGTGGGTGTGCGCGTGCGTGTGGGTGTGCGCGTGCGTGCGGGTGTGTGCATGTGTGTGGGTGTGTGTGTGTGGGTGTGTGCGTGTGTGTGGGTGTGTGCGTGTGTGTGGGTGTGTGCGTGTGTGGGTGTGTGCGTGTGTGTGTGTGTGGGTGTGTGTGTGTGTGTGGGTGTGTGTGGGTGTGTGGGTGTGCGCGTGCGTGCGGGTGTGTGCGTGGGTGTGTGTGTAGGTATGGGCGCATGCAGGAGCTCCTGGGGAAGATGGAGCAGCACGAGGGGGGTTTGGATGCGTTCACGCGCGGCTACGCCACGATGGGCATCGTGAAGGGCCCTGACGGGACGCTGTGCTGCAGGGAGTGGGCCCCTGGGGCCCAGGCCCTGCACCTCACGGGGGACTTCAGTGGGTACCCCCACCGCACCGCCGCACCACCACACCGCATCACCACACCGCACCACCACAACAACAACAGCAGCAGCGACGGCCGTGTGCCACTAAGTGGCGGTGATGTCACCGCGGCGCCTGTGCCAGGCTGTGTGCACTCTGAGGCCACCGCGTGAAGTGCGTGGGGATCTTGCTGACGGCACGGGCAACGGGAAAGAGGGCCGCGCGTGTGTGTGTGTGTACGCACGCACGCGCGTGTGTGTGTCTATGCACGCACGTGTCTACGCATGTGTGTGTGTGTGTACGCGCGTGCGCGCGTGTGTGTGTACGCGCGCGTGTGTGTTTACGCGTGCGCGCGTGCGCGTGTGTGTGTTTACGCGCGTACGCGTGTGTGTGTTTACGCATGCACGTGTCTACGCGCGCGTGTGTGTGTTTGCGCGCGTGCGCGTGTGTGTGTTTACGCATGCACGTGTCTACGCGCGCGTGTGTGTGTTTGCGCGCGTGCGCGTGTGTGTGTTTGCGCGTGTGTGTGTTTGCGCGCGTGTGTGTGTTTGCGCGCGTGTGTGTGTTTGCGCGCGTGTGTGTGTTTGCGCGCGTGTGTGTGTTTGCGCGCGTGTGTGTGTTTGCGCGTGTGTGTGTTTGCGCGTGTGTGTGTTTGCGCGCGTGCGCGTGTGTGTGTTTGCGCGTGTGTGTGTTTGCGCGCGTGTGTGTGTTTGCGCGCGTGTGTGTGTTTGCGCGTGTGTGTGTTTGCGCGTGTGTGTGTTTGCGCGCGTACGCGTGTGTGTGTTTGCGCGTGTGTGTGTTTGCGCGTGTGTGTGTTTGCGCGCGTGTGTGTGTTTGCGCGCGTGCGCGTGTGTGTCTACGCGTGTGTGTGTTTACGCGCGTACGCGTGCGCGTGTGTGTGTTTACGCGCGTACGCGTGTGTGTGTCTACGCATGCACGTGTCTGTGCGCGTGTGTGTGTACGCGCGCGTGCACGTGTGTGTGTGTGTGTTTACGCACGCACGCATGCGTAAACATCGCCACAACGGAGACGAAGGCGGTCGTGTCCACACCCCCCCTCGTGTGCCGTACCGGCCTTCGTAGGTGCTCGCTAATGGCACTTGCCCCGACGGTGTTCAGGCTTACCCGGGGGACCTTTGTCTTTGTCTCAGACGGATGGGACCACTTCTCGCACGCCTTCTCGCGCCTCGAGTTCGGGAAGTGGGAACTCCTCCTGCCCCGCAGGCCTGACGGCTCCCCCGCCATCCCGCACGGCTCCAAGCTCAAGGTGAGCCCACGTCTTGGTGCGCTCGGCCTCAAACGGACGGGCGCGGCCCATCACGGCGGTTATATCGTCGTCAGCGTCGTCACCATCGCTGTGTTTGGCATGGTCGTGACGATGGTGACGATGTTGATTGTGGCTGTAGTGTGGATGTTAGCGATGGCGGTAGTGGTGATGTTGTTTTTGTTGATGTTCACATTGACGTTGTTCATGGTTTTGTTGATGGTGATGTTGTTGTTGTTGATTTGAGGTGGTGGTGGTGACGAGCGATGGCCGCACGCTGTTCCGCATCTCTCCGTGGGCACACTACGTCACCAAGGAGGGTGCAGCTGTCACCTACGAGTGGGTGCACTGGGACCCACCGAACCCCTACCAGGTGTCTAACCCGAACCCTATCTACAACACTGCCACAGCCACACCAGGTGTCACACCACAACGTCTATCACATCCCTGGCTGCGAGGTGAATCCTCACCATAGGCCCCCTCCTCTGGCGCTGCCTCTAACGCGGTGCTCTGCCGGTGCCCCCCGCGTGGCGCAGCGCGTGCACCCTGTGCCCGCGTGCCCACGCAGTCTGCGCATCTACGAGGCCCACGTGGGCATCTCCTCGCACGAGGGCCGCGTCGCCACCTACGAGCACTTCACGCGCAACATGCTGCCCCGCATCAAGAGGCTCGGTGAGTCATTCACTCGCTAACTCGCTCGCTACGCGTGCCACACGCTTGCCCGCATCAAGAGGCTCGATGAGTCGCTTGTTCGCTAACTCGCTCGCTCGCTACGCGTGCCACACGCTGCCCCGCATCAAGAGGCTCCATGAGTGTATTCCGCCTCCTCCTCGTGCCTCCATCGAGTCGTCCCCTCTCTCTGTCTGTACGCGAGCGATGAGCGGGCACCGTGCGGCCGTGGTGACGTCACGAGGCGTCGCCGTCACCGTGTAAACGTCATCATCGCGGAGACGGAGGCGGCCGAGTGCGGTGCTGGACGCGGCCGCCCCCCCGCATCTCCCCCTCGGGTGACGTGCTCGCTCGCAGTACTTGCCTCGCCCGCCGGTCGGGGCTATATGGGGGACCTTTGTCTGCGTCTGTGCTTCAGGGTACAACTGCATCCAGCTGATGGCCGTCATGGAGCACGCGTACTACGCCAGCTTCGGATACCAAGTCACCAGCTTCTTCGCAGCCTCCAGGTCCGTGACATCACCACCAACATAGGCGTCATCGCCAACATCGTCATCGCCAACGCCATCATCATCGCCGACATCATCATCATCATCATCGCGGCCGCCGACATCATCATCATCATCATCGCCGGCGTCGACATCGTCGTCACCATCAACACCAACATCACCGTCTTTCACCGGCATCACCGACTCCGACGTGACCGTTGGCTCCTTCGGCACCGTCGTCGCCGTCGGCGCCGTTGACGCCGCTGCCGGCACCGGCACCGCCACCCGCGCCGTCACCGCGAGCGCCGCCGGCGTCTCCCCCCCACCCCCCTTACCCCCGCCCCCCCCCCCCCGCCCCCCCGTGCAGTCGCTACGGCACCCCGGAGGACCTGAAGGCGCTGCTGGACGCGGCCCACGCGCTGGGGCTGCGCGTGCTGCTGGACGTGGTGCACAGCCACGCGTCGCGCAACACCGAGGACGGCCTCAACGAGTACGACGGCACCGACGGCGCCTTCTTCCACGCGGGGCCACGCGGGGCCCACCCACTCTGGGACAGCCGCCTCTTTGACTACCGCAGGTGGGCGCCGCCGCCGGGATGCTCGTGGACACCGTGGTGGTGGTGGTGGTAGAGACCGCGGTGGTGGTGACGGTGGTGGTGACGGTGGTGGTGACGGTGGTGGTGTTGGTGGTGGTGTTGGTGGTGGTTGAGACTGGTGGTGGTGTTGGTGGTGGTGTTGGTGGTGGTGGTTGAGACTGTGGTGGTGTTGGTGGTGGTGTTGGTGGTGGTGTTGGTGGTGGTGTTGGTGGTGGTGGTTGAGACTGTGGTGGTGTTGGTGGTGGTGTTGGTGGTGGTGTTGGTGGTGGTGTTGGTGGTGGTGGTTGAGACTGGTGGTGGTGTTGGTGTTGGTGGTGGTGGTGGTTGAGACTGTGGTGGTGTTGGTGGTGGTGTTGGTGGTGGTTGAGACTGTGGTGGTGGTGTTGGTGGTGGTGTTGGTGGTGGTGTTGGTGGTGGTGGTGGTTGAGACTGGTGGTGGTGTTGGTGGTGGTGTTGGTGGTGGTGGTGGTTGAGACTGTGGTGGTGTTGGTGTTGGTGGTGGTGGTGGTTGAGACTGTGGTGGTGGTGTTGGTGGTGGTGGTGGTGGTTGAGACTGTGGTGGTGTTGGTGGGGACCGCTTTAATGTTGATGGTGGAGACCGCAATAACACTGTCACACTAATACTACCACAGTAACACTGTCACACTAATACTACCACAGTAACACTGACACACTAATACTACCACAGTAACACTGACACACTAATACTACCACAGTAACACTGTCACACTAATGCTACCACAGTAACACTGACACACTAATACTACCACAGTAACACTGTCACACTAATATTACCACAGTAACACTGACACACTAATACTACCACAGTAACACTGACACACTAATACTACCACAGGAACACTGTCACACTAATACTATCACAGTAACACTGACACACTAATACTACCACAGTAACACTGTCACACTAATACTACCACAGTAACACTGTCACACTAATACTACCTCAGTAACACTGACACACTAATACTACCACAGTAACACTGTCACACTAATACTACCACAGTAACACTGACACACTAATACTACCACAGTAACACTGTCACACTAATACTACCACAGTAACACTGGCACACCAATACTACCACAGTAACACTGTCACACTAATACTACCACAGTAACACTGTCACACGAATACTACCACAGTAACACTGGCACACTAATACTACCACAGTAACACTGACACACTAATACTACCACAGTAACACTGTCACACTAATACTACCACAGTAACACTGACACACTAATACTACCACAGTAACACTGACACACTAATTCTACCACAGTAACACTGACACACTAATACTACCACAGTAACACTGTCACACTAATACTACCACAGTAACACTGTCACAATAATACTACCACAGTAACAATGTCACACTAATTCTACCACAGTAACACTGACACACTAATACTACCACAGTAACACTGTCACACTAATACTACCACAGTAACACTGACGCACTAATACTACCACAGTAACACTGACACACTATTTCTACCACAGTAACACTGACACACTAATACTACCACAGTAACACTGACACACTAATACTACCACAGTGACACTGACACACTAATACTACCACAGTGACACTGACACACTAATACTTCCACAGTAACACTGACACACTAATACTACCACAGTAACACTGACACACTAATACTACCACAGTAACACTGACACACTAATACTACCACAGTAACACTGTCACACTATTTCTACCACAGTAACACTGTCACACTAATACTACCACAGTAACACTGACACACTAATACTACCACAGTAACACTGACACACTAATTCTACGACCACTGTGCTGTGTGTGTGTGTGTTCTGTGTGTTTGTGTGTGTGCTCTCTGTGTCTGTGTGCTCTGTGTGTGTGTTCTGTGTGTGTGTGCTCTGTGTGTGTGTGTGTGCTCTGTGTGTGCTCTGTGTGTGTGTGCTCTGTGTGTGTGTGTGTGCTCTGCGTGTGTGTGTGCTCTGCGTGTACTCTGTGTGTACTATGTGTGTGTGTGTGCTCTGTGTGCTCTGCGTTGTGTGTGTGGGCTCTGTGTGAAGCTGGGAGGTTCTGCGTTTTCTGCTCTCAAACCTGCGCTGGTGGATGGAGGAGTACGGATTCGATGGCTTCCGCTTTGACGGCATCACGTCGATGATTTACCACCACCACGGTGTAGGTGAGACATGTGGGGACATGCGGGGACACGTGGAGATGCACACAAGGAGACGTAGCGACACGTGGAGACACGTGGATACACGTGGAGACGCACACAGATGCACACAGAGAGACATAGGGACACGCGGGGACATCCAGAGACCCAGACATTCGGGGACACACACACACACACAGGCACACGATGTTGATGGTGTGTGTCTCGGAGCGGGCTTCAATAGCGATGTTGACGATGTTGACGATGTGCAGGAGAGGAGTTCTCTGGGAACTACGAGGAGTACTTTGGGCTGCAGGTGGACGAGGACTCCCTCGTCTACCTCATGCTGGCCAATCACATGCTGCACTCCTTCTACCCACAATGCACAACGGTCGCAGAGGTACCGCCCCCCCGTCCCCCCCACCACACGGCTCGAGTCGTTGGCAGTGTTGACGATGCAGTTTGCGTGTTGTGGTTTTTATTTGTTGTCTTGCTGTGGTTGACCACAGCCTGTGCAGGGCCTATAAACGTCTGGCAGCTCACCAGCATTGACTCAAGCAAGGCTGCCTCTGCTGTCGAATCAGTGCTGTGGGGATTGAGCACTCTGAGAAGGATGTGTGTGTGAGTAAGGAATAATTGTAGGTTGTATCTGGAGAGAGGGACGCGTGAAGGAGGAGGATCGTTGATATCGATGGCGTTGGGGACGCACAAATCCCCCCAACCCCCACCCTCGTTCGATTCCCGCTCACGGCCAACATCAACGCCGGTGACGATTATCTGAAACGGTGCTGGGCCTTCCCCTAGGTGGACTTGGCCTAAAATGAGTGCGTGGTGCAACGTGTAAAATAAATCGGCACTGGGGAGATGAAGGCGGCCGGCCGTGGTGTTGGCCACCCACCCCCACGTGCGCCGTGCCGGCCTTGATGGGCGCTGCCGGCCTTGATGGGCGCTGCCGGCCTTGATGGGCGCTGCCGGCCTTGATGGGCGCTGCCGGCCTTGATGGGCGCTGCCGGCCTTGATGGGCGCTGCCGGCCTTGATGGGCGCTGCCGGCCTTGATGGGCGCTGCCGGCCTTGATGGGCGCTGCCGGCCTTGATGGGCGCTGCCGGCCTTGATGGGCGCTGCCGGCCTTGATGGGCGCTGCTACTCTCCCACGGCACTTTCCCCATCAGTCTGTGAAAGGCTACACGGGGGACCTTTGTCTGCGTGGCAGGAGGTGTCAGGGATGCCGGCGATGTGCCGCCCGGTGGAGGAGGGGGGCGCCGGCTTCGACTACCGCCTGGCAATGGCCATCCCGGACAAGTGGATCCAGGTACCACCACGGTGCACCGCCGCCACCGTCGGCCATGCTCAATCCACTGCTGCATGAAGGCCTCCCGAAGCCGTCGCAGTCTCCATCTTCACGTGTCACCTTGCGTCTCTGTCCCCCCCTGCTGTGTGTCCCCTCCCCCGTGTCCCCCCTCCACGTGTCCCCCCCCCCTCCACGTGTCCCCCCTCCCCGTGTCCCCCCTCCCCGTGTCCCCCCCACTGTTCCCCCCCCCCCCGTGTCCCCCCTCCCCGTGCCCCCCCCCACCCGTGTCTCTGAGCGTCCCCGTAGATAATCAAGGAGCGCAAGGATGAGGACTGGAACATCGGGGACATCGTCCACACGCTCATCAACCGGCGGCACGGGGAGAAGTGCATCGCCTACGCGGAGAGCCACGACCAGGTGACGAGCCCGAGGCAGAGACCTCCCGTGGTGTCGCCTCTCACGGGAAAGTGACGCTCGGCCGCTCATTCGCGCCGCCCCCATCCCCTGGCCCCCTCCGCCGTGGCCCCAGGCGCTGGTGGGGGACAAGACGCTGGCGTTCTGGCTGATGGACGAGGCGATGTACTTCGACATGTCCATCCTGTGTCCGCCCAGCGTCGTCGTGGACCGGGGCATCCAGCTGCACAAGCTGATCCGCCTGCTGACGCACGCGCTGGGCGGCGAGGCCTACCTCAACTTCATCGGTAGCGGCGCGACCCCCATCGTGCGTGTGTGTGTGTGCGCGAGTGTGTGCGCATGCGTGCGTGTGTGTGTGTGCGCGTGTGTGTGTGTGTATGCGTGCGTGTGTGTGTGTGTATGCGTGCGTGTGTGTGGGGAGCGGTTAGCGCCGTGCTGTGCTACGAACCCGGCGACCCCAGTTAGATTCCCGCTCGCGGCCAACGCCGGTGGCGATTTATCTGCACCGGTCCTGGGTCTCCCCTAGGTCGACTCGACCTGAAATGAGTATCTGGTGCAGTGTTGCGTGAACATCGCCATTGGGGAGACAAAGGCGGCCGAGCGCGGTGCTGGCCACCCACCCCCTAGTGCGCCGTGCCGGCCTTCATAGGTGCTACTCTCTAGCAGCACTTGCCCCAACAGTCTGTTAAGGCTCTACGGAGCGGCGGGCGCAGTGGTTAGCGCCGTGTGGGCCACCGCGCCGGGACCACAGAGTTTGATGGGCGCTGGTGTGCGAGGCCTTTGATGGCCGGGTCACGGACACCTCGAGAGCCTCGGGTCACGGTTCAAGCCCCCGGCTCGTTTCGTTGTCGGGGTGTTCGCAATGTCCCGTGTGACACGGCTTCGTCTGGAACCTCGCCACCACCGCCCCGAACCTCCCGACCCCCGTCGCAGGCAACGAGTTCGGGCACCCCGAGTGGCTGGACTTTCCCCGGGTGGGGAACGGCGAGAGTTTCCACTACGCGCGGCGGCAGTTCCACCTGGCGGACGACCCGACGCTGCGCTACCAGCACCTGCAGGCGTTCGACGCCAGCATGAACCACGCGGAGGAGAAGTTCGGCTGGCTCGCGGCGCAGCAGGTCGGCCGACACCGTCGCGCGGACGGCGCGGTGCGCTCGCTCGCCGCCGTCGGGCGGTGGCGCGGTTGGAACGCGGCGGGCCGCCCCGGTTAATACCGTGCGCCGTATGAACCGGGACGCGCTCCGCCGCCGTCTGCACCGCTCACGGTGGACGCTCCGGGAACCCCGTGGCGTCGTTGGCAACGAGCGGTCGGCCGTCGTGTGCCGGCGTCGCGCCTCGCGTTTGACAAATTCTAAAATTGCCATCGCACCTCTCCCCCCGGGCCCCCCACGTGTCCCTCCCCCCCCCCCTCTCGGCCCCCTGCCCCATGCTGGGGAACCATCGCCCCGCGCTATGGGAACGGCGCCGACGTCAAACGTACTGAATAGCAACGGCAATAATAATAATAATAAGAGTGGTAATAGTAGTGGTTGTTGTGTGTGCATGTGCAGGCGTTTGTGAGCTGCAAGCACCAGGGCGACATGGTGGTGTCGTTTGAGAGAGCCAACCTGCAGTTCGTGTTCAACCTGCACCCCGCCAACAGCTACACCGACTACCGCATCGGCGTGCGCACGGCCGGGAGGCATCCTCACTCGCTGGCCGCACGCACGCACACGTCGCAGCGTGTGCGTGTCGTGATGTGCGTGTCGCAGTGTCTGTATAACCGTAGGGGGTAAGCACAGTGCCAGTCGTATCGCTCGGCCAACCCACGGCACCTTGGTCTGTCCCGTGACCTCCTGTCGGCGAGCCGTCGACACTTCACGTGGCCTCAAAGCGCACCTATCCTGGCACAGGCGCCGTGCTGACGTCACCGCCACTTAGTGGCGGATGGCGGCTGTTGTTGTTGTTGGTGTCTGCGTGCGTCTGGGGGAGCGGAAGAGTAGCAGTTGGCGTGGTGCGCTTCAAGCCCAGAGACCCCAGTTGGATTCCTGCTCGCGGCCATACCAATTGACGATTATCTGAACCGGTCTTGGGCCTCCGCTATGTCGACTTAGCCTTAATTAGGTGCCTGGCGCGCAGTGGGTATTAAAGATGAGCCGTGCGGAGACGAAGGCAGCTCCAGCGGCTTCCGCGAGTCTCTCGCGCCTCCGCCCCTCCCCCCGCGTCTCCACGTAGCCTTGAGTCCTTGACGGCGAGTCTGCAGGTACCACATAGTCCTGGACTCGGACACGCGGGAGCACGGCGGGCACGAGCGGCTGCAGCACGACGTCGAGTTCTTCTCCAGCCCCGTGCCCATCGGGGGCCTCCAGCACTCCATCCTGGTGAGGGGTGCAGGGGGGGAGTCGGGGGCAGGGGGGGGAGTTGGGGGCAGGGGGGGGAGTTGGGGGGAGTTGGGGGCAGGGGGGGGGAGTTGGGGGCAGGGGGGGAGAGTTGGGGGGAGTTGGGGGCAGGGGGGGGAGTTGGGGGCAGGGGGGGGAGTTGGGGGCAGGGGGGGGAGTTGGGGGCAGGGGGGGGAGTTGGGGGCAGGGGGGGGAGTTGGGGGCAGGGGGGGGAGTTGGGGGCAGGGGGGGGAGTTTGGGGGAGTTGGGGGCAGGGGGGGGAGTTTGGGGGAGTTGGGGGCAGGGGGGGGAGTTTGGGGGAGTTGGGGGCAGGGGGGGGAGTTTGGGGGAGTTGGGGGCAGGGGGGGGAGTTTGGGGGAGTTGGGGGCAGGGGGGGGAGTTGGGGGGAGGGGGGGGAGTTGGGGGGAGGGGGGGGAGTTGGGGGCAGGGGGGGGAGTTTGGGGGAGTTGGGGCAGGGGGGGGAGTTTGGGGGAGTTGGGGGCAGGGGGGGGAGTTGGGGGGAGGGGGGGAGTTGGGGGCAGGGAGGAGAGTTGGGGGCAGGGGGGGGAGTTGGGGGCAGGGGGGGGGAGTTGGGGGGAGTTGGGGGCAGGGGAGGGCAGTTGGGGGCAGGGGGGGGAGTTGGGGGGAGTTGGGGGCAGGGGGTGGAGTTGGGGGCAGGGAGGGGAGTTGGGGGCAGGGGGGGGAGTTGGGGGCAGGGGGGGGAGTTGGGGGCAGGGGGGGGAGTTGGGGGCAGGGGGGGGCTCGTTCAATCCCAGAGACCGGCCGTAAAGTGGCCATGGCCAAAACGAATGCATGAGCTCCAGCACACGCCATAGAACGAACACTAACATGAATTAGTCACAGCACTGACACACACACAGCAGTCATAGCACTGACACACATGCACCAGTCATAGCACTGACACACATGCACCAGTCATAGCACTGACACACATGCACCAGTCATAGCACTGACACACATGCACCAGTCATAGCACTGACACACATGCACCAGTCATAGCACTGACACACATGCACCAGTCATAGCACTGACACACATGCACCAGTCATAGCACTGACACACATGCAGCAGTCATAGCACTGACACACATGCACCAGTCATAGCACTGACACACATGCACCAGTCATAGCACTGACACACATGCACCAGTCATAGCACTGACACACATGCACCAGTCATAGCACTGACACACATGCACCAGTCATAGCACTGACACACATGCACCAGTCATAGCACTGACACACATGCACCAGTCATAGCACTGACACACATGCACCAGTCATAGCACTGACACACATGGACCAGTCATAGTACTCGCACGTGTGGTGGGGTAAAGTGTGGTGGGGTCAAGTGTGGGGTACCACCGTCTCTTCCTAGACGTCTGGCCGGTGTGGAAGAGGAGGCTCAAATTTACCCCTCCTGGGCGGGGCTCTGTCGAGCTCCCTCGAGTGGGGGCTGAGGGGAGGGGCTTCATGATGGCCATGTCGGGACACGTGACGGCCTGGGCACATTCCCCAATGCTGTTGGTTGAAGGCTCAGAGCCAGGCTAGGGCGCTTCGGGTTCAAAGTTGGTGTACTAATGTGTCTGCGTGTGTCCGTGTGTCTGCGCGTGTGTTTTCGTGTGTCTGCGCGTGCGTTCCCGTGTGTCTGCGTGTGCGTTCCCGTGTACACACGTGTGTGTCCGTGCATTTGTGTGTGGCTTTTTGTCTATGGGTGGGTTGGTGTCTGTGTGTTCCCTTTGTGAGTACATGAGTTGTGTCTGTGCGCGTTTGTGTGTGTACCTTTATGTGTGTACGTGTCTAACTGCTGTCTGTGTGTCGCTCTGTATGTGTGTCCATGTACGTGTATTTATACGCGTGTGTGTGCATTAATGTGTATATGTATAATACACACTTGCGTGCGTGTGTAAATTACCACGTGTGTTTCCATACACGTCCGTGCATGAATGTGTACATGCATGTGTGCACGTCCGTCCCATGTGTTTGTCCACGCACGCACGCACGCACCAGCTGTACATCCCCTCGCGCGTCGCGGTGGTCCTGGCCAACAGGGAGCTGGACAACTAAGACCATTCACGACTCTGCATCGTGAACCAATCAGATCGGCGTTACTACCGATCATAACATCAACCCGTTCCTGCAACCTATCGCCAGCTACGCGCGCCTGACCGGGGTGCCACCCTCTCTACCTCTCACTCACGCGCGCTGGCACGCTCTGTCACGCTGTGTCACACTGTGTCATATGCTGTCACGCTGTGTCTCACGCTCTGTCACGCTGTGTCACACTTGCACGCTGCTGCGTGCTTGTCATGCTGTGTCACGCTGTGTCACATGCTGTCACGCTGTGTCTCACGCTGTGTCACGCTCTGTCACGCTGTGTCACGTGCTGTCACGCTGTGTCACGCTGTGTCTCACGCTGTGTCACGCTCTGTCACGCTCTGTCACGCTGTGTCACGTGCTGTCACGCTGTGTCACGTGCTGTCACGCTGTGTCACGCTGTGTCACGCTGCCACGTGCTTGTCACGCTGTGTCACGTGCTGTCACACTCACATGCTGTGTCACGCTGTGTCACACACGTGCTGTCACGCTGTGTCACGTGCTGTCACGCTGTGTCACGTGCTGTCACGCTGTGTCACGTGCTGTCACGCTGTGTCACACTCACATGCTGCCACGTGCTTGTCACGCTGTGTCACGTGCTGTCACACTCATGCTGCCACGCTGTGTCACGCTGTGTCACACACGTGCTGTCACGCTGTGTCACGCTGCCACGTGCTGTCACGCTGCGTCACACTCACATGCTGCCACGTGCTGTCACGCTGCCACGTGCTGTCACGCTGTGTCACACATGCTGCCATGCTGTGTCACGGGCTGTCACGCTATGTCACGCGCTGTCACACACTGTCATGCACGACGGCTCAGCATCTCACCTCCTCCACTCTGTGCCAATTCCTCTATGCTCGCTCACCTACTCGCTCACCTATTCACCTGCTTGCTCACCCATTCACGTATTCCCCTACCCACTTCTCTACTCACTCACCTACTCACCCACTCACCCCCTCCCCCATCCTCTACTCTGCGTCTTTGCCCCTCGCTCTTTGCCTCCTCTCCCCCTGTCTGTGGGTACCGTCTGTGCCCCACGCCAGGGGACGTCCAGCGATTCTCTCTCCAAACTCTTCGCAGCGCTTTCCGTTTGCCAGCAAACGATGAACGGCCGTGCGGCGTGACCCCGAAAAGTTCCAAACTTTAACTCGGTGCGGCGCCCTGACCACGCGTCTCCAAAGTCCGCTTTAAAGGAAAAATAAGGAAATGGGATGCCTTTATTCTAGTTTCTTTTTTAATTAACCGCGTTTTTTGCCAAAGTTTTGATAACCGCCGATCGCCGCTCCTGCCGGGGACGCGCGACCCGGGTTGCCCGACCCAGACGACGTCTCGCAATCGGATGCACCACCGAGTCGCGTGGCCCTCGCTCGTCGTGAAAACGTTCTGACCGGTCAAGGATGGTTTAGCGCTCTCCGTTCCGACTCCTGAGTGGAGATGCACGGTTGTAGTGAAGAGTTGAAATTGTGATTTCGTTTCTTAATGTTTCTAAGATTATCTTGCAAATTAAAGTAATTGGTACAGCAGCTATTCAGTTTAAGATAACGCTTTAAACAACACGCTTAGAGATGCTTTCGCACACTCGCAGGCACACACAAAAAACACTCGCACACAAAAATCACACACGGCCGCTCGCATTCAGAGACACTCGCTCACGGACACTCGCACACACACAGACGCTCGTTCACACACAGACACACGGACACTCACTCGCACACGGGCACACGGATGCTCACACACGGACACTCACACACGGACACTCACACACGGACACTCGCACACGGACACTCGCTCACACACAGACACTCGCTCGCACACAGACACTCTCACAGGGACACTCGCACACGGACACTCGCTCACACACAGACACTCGCTCACACACGGACACCCGCACACGGACACCCGCACACGGACACTCGCACACGGACACTCGCTCACACACAGACACTCGCTCACACACAGACACTCGCTCACACACAGACACTCGCTCGCACACAGACACTCGCACACGGACACTCGCTCACACACGGACACTCGCTCACACACGGACACTCGCTCACACACAGACACTCGCACACAGACACTCGCACACAGACACACACAGTCACACAGACAGACACACACACTCGCACACACAGACACACACACAGACACACAGACACACACTCGCACACCTTTCCTCTGCCGCCGGCTCGGCGTTCGCTCCGCGCGGCTCGTGGCGAGCGACTCGCAGTCCACTTTGTGGCTGGGCTACTGCGGAACGATCGTCACGAGCCCTCCGCCACCCTGCGCGGCCACCGACTCTGCGTGCACCCTCCATCGCGTCGGGCTGCCTCGGGTGGTGGAGGCTCACGCGGGCGCAGATTCGGTCGGCTCGTTTGGAGAGCTCGCCCCCCCCCCCCGCCCCGCCCCCCCCCCCCAAAAGTATTTTGAACAAATGGCTGTGACCCATCACTCGGTGCATTGCAAAGCTGTCGTTTGGGGTAATTGAAGTCGTACATTTCATGGCGAGTTAAATGTCTTCTTTAAATGTTCTCGTGCAACGGGCCGGCGTGCGCATCGAACGCGGCGCGGGCTGCGATGTTGAAGCCTTCGCGCCCGTGGCACAGCAGCGCCACGGGGAGGGGAGGCGAGGAAGTCATTACTGGGAACAGAGAGGGGAAGAGAAAGGAGTGGGAGATGAGGGGGGGGGCAAGGGTTGAGAAGGAACGGAGAAACGGGAGCACGGGGGTCGGGGAGACGAGGAGGGAGAGGCTGTGGCAGCAGCAGGGAGAGGCAGTAGCAGGGAGCGGCGTCTGTTTTCACAGTGGGCGGGGAGAGGGAAGGAGCTCGGTGGGTGTGGCCTCACGGAAGCCACGTGATTGACGGGAGGCTGCAGCTGGTTTAGAGATGGTCCAGTGATTAGAGGACTGGCTGCAGTTGATGAATGTTGTAGTGAATAATGGCACAAAACCCGATGCAATAAAAACGCGAAGTAGAATTGTGACTCTTGGGGAGACTGATGTCGCGATGATCGTCGTCGCATTGTGGACACATGAATGTCGTGTCGTGATCCCCGGTACCCATAGCTCGGTCGTGGTTCGTACCGCCACGCGTGTACTTGTGTGTTATTTGTCCCAATCCTACGTAACTATATATGTCGAGGCATTAATCGGCACTCCCCCATGCTGTTAGCGGGTAGCTTCCCCTTCGCGTCAACAGAGGGCAGAAGTGCGATTACGCGAATGTCAAGGACGAAGGCCAGAGGAGCCAACGGAAATCCCTGGGATCAGGGATCCTGGGACACAATCCCCAAACCCCGGGAGGGGGTCCCCAAACCCCGGGAGGGGGGACTGGGGGATGATGTCACCTTCCAGAAGCTTCTGGAAGGGAGGCGGGGCTAGGGCGGAAGCAAGCCACGGACCTCTGAAGGGTCCGCCTCGCTCATCTCCAAGCCGAAGAGCGAAGACGAAGCTGAAGATAGGACCCTGGACCCAAGCTTCAGGGTCCTATCTTCTAAGGGCCGGAGCTGAGTGAGGCCAGCGGTCAGGGCCCGCAGACCTTGGCACGGTCGGGTCAGCGTGGCCTCCCCTAGGGCCCCTAGCCGGGGGGCTAAGAATTTGAGTGGGCCCAGGGTCGCCCGGAGGCCACGCCCCCTCGGGTATCGGGTGGAAGGGGCCCGTTACCCCTTTGTTTTAGGGACCGTGTGACAGCAGTTAAATAAATATCGTGTTGCCCCACAGAAGTTCTCCTCTGGTTATTGACCCACTACATATACACAACGTGTGTAAATATACAGTTCTATACATGTATACTTTTCTGTGCATATATATTGCTGATCACACATATATGTAAGTTCATTGGGGTGCCACTCGATCTGCATCGCGCCCCCTCCTCTCAAGTTGCCACTCGCGGTGGTCAAGTCAACGGGCGAGGGCCGCATTCTGGTCTCGAGGGACCCTGGGCTCACCCACCCGCCTCTCTCTGTGTGCGCGCGCGCCTCTCTCTGTGCGCGCGCGCGCGCCTCTCTCTGTGCGCGCGCGCACACTCATTGACCTACCCACTCACCTACCCACTCATTTACCTACTCGCCAACCCACCCATTTACCTACCCACTCACCTACCCACTCATTTACCTACCTGCCTACCCACTCATTGACCTACCCACTCACCTACCCACTCATTTACCTACTCGCCAACCCACCCATTTACCTACCCACTCACCTACCCACTCATTTACCTACCCACTCACCTACCCACTCATTTACCTACCTGCCTACCCACTCATTTACCTACCCACTCACCTACCCACTCATTTACCTACTCGCCAACCCACCCATTTACCTACCCACTCACCTACCCACTCATTTACCTACCGACTAACCTACCCACTCATTTACCTAGCTGCCTACCCACTCATTGACCTACCCACTCACCTACCCACTCATATACCTACCTGCCTACCCACTCATTGACCTACCCACTCACCTACCCACTCATTTACCTACTCGCCAACCCACTCATATACCTACCTGCCTACCCACTCATTTACCTACCCACTCACCTACCCACTCATTTACCTACCTGCCTACCCACTCATTTACCTACCCACTCACCTACCCACTCATATACCTACCTGCCTACCCACTCATGTATCTACCCACTCACCTACCCACGCATTTACCTACTCGCCAACCCACCCATTTACCTACTCGTCTTCCCACTCATTGACCTACGCACTCATTGACCAACCCGATCAATGACCTACCCACTCATTAACTCACCTACCCACTCATTTACCTATCCACTCACCTATTCACCTGCCTACTCACTCACGGGCCCACTCACCTACACACTCACCGACTCACCTACACGCTCACTAACTCACCTGCACACCCACTCACCTACACGCTCACCGACTCGCCTACACGCTCACCCACTCACCTATTCACTCGCCTACCCACTCACCTAACTCCTCACCTCCCCACTCGCCTGCTCACCCAGGATCTCCTCCTCTGCATCCCGGCCTTTAACAGCGGTGTCTCCTCGTGCGTGCAGCTCTGTCGACCGCCACGCGTTGCCCGACCCTGCCGGCAGCAAGCCCGGCGCACGTCGGGTGGTTGAGTCTCTCCAGACTCGCAGCGGCTTCGGTTTGAACGGCAAACACATCGAGCGAAGAAGCCAGGCGGTGGTGCGACCTTGAAGCGCGAACGATGGAGCGAGCGGAGAGCATCGCGACCTTGACCGCCACGAGTGGCGTCCCAATAGAACGCGGAGCGCCCCGCGGTGCGCGAGGGCGCGATGTTTTTGTTTTCGCGTTCCCC